ATTGATTGCAGATAGGAATGGAGAGGGAGAGAGAGATAGAAACATCAATGATGAGAGAGAGTCATTGATCGACTGCCTCCTGCACGTCCTCTACAGGGGATTGAGCCGGCAACCTGGGCATGTACCCTTGACCAGAATGGAACCCAGGACCCTTCAGTCCGCAGGCCGACACTCCATCCACTGAGCCAAACCTAGATTTTAAAAAAATTATTACCATTAGTTGCGTTTAAGAAATCCTTTAATCTCCAGCTGCTCAGACCAGAAGAAGGAAAAATCATATTTAGGTAAACTAACATGTAGATTAATTATGTGCCCAGCACCATGCTTTTGGAAAATTATCCAATTTATTCCTCAAAAGAAGTTCACTGGTGTTGTTTCATATTACAGATGGGGAAATGAGAAGTTTGACAAGTTAAAGACTCAGGTAATCTAATTCCAGACTGCTATTTTTTTTCTGAAATGTGTCCGTCTGTTCCAGGTTCTATGTCTCTGCATCTATTTTGTGCAATTTAATCTTGATCCCTCTGCCTGAGAGTCAATAGACCTCCATCAATAGTGGAAATTTATTGAGCCCCTTTGGAGTGTTAGTCAGGAAATTATTTCCAAGTTTCTGAGAGAATCCATTCCTTGATGGTGAGGACTGAGATCACTTCTTGATTCCCAGCACGAGGGCTGGGGCAGGCGCAGAGGCCCCCACTCCCCTCCCCCCAGCGCCTGCTTTGGTGCTGCCCGAGCCCCAAGAATGCTCCCGTCTTCTGCTTGTGGATGCCGGTTCATGGGTGCAACTCAAAACTCCAGGTTTTGGGGAGCCCTCCATTTGGGGTTCATCATTCTAGAGGTTCTTTCTAAGAAAAAGAATATAAAAATGCTTACCTCTCAAACTTGACCAAAGTAAATGCCACGTGACCCCAATGCTAGGCAGCTGTGGGCTTGGAAGAAGCCCAGGCTAGTGAAGGGGACTCAAAGCATCAATTTCACCAACCGCACGGTAAATCTGCCTCTACCTTCACCTGGGGGATCAAATAAGCCACATCTCAAATTCTTCCAATTAATTGCTCAGACCCTGAGATCCAATGCCAGCAGGATGCCCCTTGAGCCTCATTCCACCCTGTCCACGCTCTGGAAGGACTTAGGGATCTGGCCTACACTGGAGTCCCATCAGCCCTCGGGCACCGCGATGCCGGTTCTTGCCCTCGGGGCAGTGAGCAGCTGGCCACTCGGCCCTGGCACGTCTGGTCAGTTCCCAACCCGCAGCAGTAGTGGCCGGCGTGGGTGGCCCGGGGGCACCGTGCCTGAGAGTCATTCCCACAGCACAACACTGTGCCAGGAAGGGGGGTCCTATTGGACATTCACGCCTCCAACAGCCTCCTCCACACCCAGCTCTTGCCCCCAGTGGAGCCCCGCTCACCTCTGGCACCTCCTTCCCTCCTCTGGGGCCTCCATAGCCATCACTGCCAGGTCCAGGCTAACTCTTCAGGGAGAGTCTCAGAAACTGCACCAACGGGAAAGGGGGGTGTTCTCAGCCCCCCGCCTCCTGCCCCCCGCTCTTTGGCCTCTGTGACTCTGTCACCTCCTGCCCGAACAGCCTGTCCCCAGCAGGCATTGGGGGTCTGTCCCCAGAAGGATCTGCCGGGTCTGCTGCATCAGATGTGACAGATCACAGAGGAGTTCCTGCTCCCGTGTCAGCTGCTTCCTTCCTGGCAAGATGCAGCGCAGCCCCTCTGGTTCTCAGATGGCGACAGCAGCATTCACGGGGTTCTCGCTGGGGCCACGCGGCTGGGCCCCGTGTCTTGGGAAGATGTTCTTCCTTCTCTGTACGCAGGCCCGGCGGCTCTTCATAAGAAAGGAGCCCCAGCAAGCACTTCCACTGGTGGTTTCCCCAAACTGAATAATTGCCTGTCATCCTGCTCCCGGGATCCTGCCGGGACCAGCTTTGCTTGGGGAACTGTGTTTGCTTTGAACGCAAACGTTCTTCCCTCTCGCATCTGCTCGCCACCAGCTTTCCAAACAGGCAGTGACAGACCATCGAGGAAAATATTTTATCCCCAGAACAAAGCACTTATGTGTTCTTTGAAAAGGCGTTTCCTTAAGAAAGCCACCCCCTTGTGCAACCTCCGCCTTTTCCAGGCAAGTGCTGATGTGAATCCGACCTCTCTCGGGGGTTAACTGGGCCAAAGGATGAGTCAATGGCTGCACAGTCGTTCTGCGAGATCACCGCCCATAGTCAGACCACCAGTCCCTTCCGCTGACGGAACCAGAAGGCTGGGCTGTATTGAAAGAGGCCGAGGGCGTGACAAAGGCTAGCACATTTTCACCTCCTCTCTGATCCAAGGAGAGTTGCTCCCAGATGCTGTTTCTGCAGTCCAGCTTCTGACTCGCAAGCTCTTCAAGCAGGAAGTTGTGGCCTGGATTGCAAAGAGCCTGCATGACATAACCTTCACCTTGTAACATACACACACATGTAGACAGAGGAAATAAGGAGACATTTGAAAGAGGGGGCTCAGGGTCAGCCTATGGTCGAACCCCTACAGTTCATAGGTCAAGACACCAAGATTCCCCTCACACCCATTAGGATGGCTATTGTTCAAGCAAAACAAAGCAAAACAAAATAACAATTGTTGGCCTGCGAGGATGTGGTAAAACTGGACCCCTGGTGAGAATGTAACATGGTGCAGCTGCTGTGGAAAACAGTATGGTGATTCTTCAAAAAAATTAAAAATAGAATTACCCTATGATCCAGGAATTCCACTTCAGGGTAGATACCCAAAAGAAGTGAAAGCAGGGTCTCAAAGAGATTTGTATATTCACAGCAATGTTATTTGCAATAGCTAAAATGTAGAAACAACGTGTGTCCATCGATAGATGGGTAGATAAATAAAATGTGGTGTATACACACAACAGAATATTATTCAGCCTTAAAAAGGAATGAAATTCTGCAATATGACACAACATGACGCACCTTGAGAATATTATGCTAAGTGAAATAAGTCTGTATGAATCTACTTACATGAGGAACGTAGTCAAAATCACAGAGCGGGAAAGTAGAATGGGAATTGCCGGAAGCTGGTGGAGGAGAGAGAAATGGGGAGTTGTAGTTTAAGTGGATATGTAGCTTCAGTTTTACAAGATGAAAAATGTTATTGGAGATAGATGGTGTGCATCATTATGAATATATACGAATGTATTGAAAACTACTGAATCCTACACTTAAAAATGGTCAAGATGGTAATTTTTATGTTCTAGAAAAAAATATAGGGAAAATAAAGACAATGAGGCCCCAAGTGGTGAAGTAACTTGGCCGGAGTCACACAGCTGGCTGCACCAGCGCCAGGGTTTGGGCTGCCTTCAGATCCCTGCTCCGACATTCCTGCCTTGGCAAACCGCATCCGGGGATCAGGGCCGCCTGGTCCTTCAGCCGGACCCACCCCTTAGCAGGGCTGTGTGGGATGAGCAGTTCCCAGCCTCAGAGGTCATAGGGGTCTATTTTTAGATCTTTTCAGACAGAACCAACATATAGGGAGCACCTTCCATGTGCCACATCCACTGTCAACTGCTTTCACATCCCTAATGCCTTTTATCCCTTCTCTCCGCTGTAGGAAAGCTTGTGCTGACTCAAGAAAAGATCTTCAGTTGGGTTCCCTGGTGGTGTATGCCTATTGTCACATCAAGGCCGCCGCTGGTCATCTTCAGTTGGGTTCCCTGGTGTATGCCTATTGTCACATCAAGGCCGCCGCTGGTAAAGTCATCTACCCCCGGGTAGGAAAAGACCTTCTTAATGGGATGACCAGCCACTGAGCCTGGTTACCAGGAGGCCGTGTTTTCAGTTCACCCAGACACAGGGCTCCGGGTTCCTCCTGGTTAGTGAGATGCTTTAGCCAACAGAGAGATGTTTCTGAAAAACACTTAAAAACCAGTCTGGTGGGAAGTGGATCTGTCACCAAATGATTTGGTTCTTAAACGTTGGTAACCTGTGAATTCCCTAATCAAAAATTCTCCCCCCGCCTTACAATCTGACATTAAATCTTTAGAAAGAATGATTGTTAATGCTTCAGGCTGAAGGTGGGGAACGCGACCCAAGGAAAAAATCCATATTCTTTAAGTTAATCAGTGTTTGTGTTGTAGGCAGAACCCAAATCCAAACCATATTTCCCCAAAAGGTTTTCCCCTCTTCATTCTCAAATCCATGTGCATTAGATAAGAAACCCAAGCCGTATGTTTCTTACTCATTTACACTTAACTCATCAAAGCATTTCCTCTGAAGAACTATTTGATGTCCAAGGAGACGTTGAGATGGTTTCTCTTTAACAAACCTTTGTTCTTAGACATAAAGGAGCTGCTGAAATTGTATACACAAAGAATAAATGAACTTGAACCTCAGAAAGGTTAAACTCTGTTTAAGTAGGTTCTATATTTGGAAGAAACAACTTTAGGAATGAGCTGTTTTTCTTAAAAAAAAAAATTTTTTTTAGGAGGGGCCTCCAATGGACTTGGATTTTTATGCCAAAACAATTTTCTCTCCGCTCTTGGTACGCACCACTGGCTGATAAAATCCATCTCTGTAAGGCGTTCTGAGGTGGTCTTCAACTTTTCAGTTGGAAGAGGCCGCACCTAATTTTGATCTCTCTCTGATAATTTGTGGCAAAATCTGCCCAGGGGAGATGCATCCTTCTGGATTCCAGCGTGTGCGTTGAGGAGAACAAAGCTCCTTAGGAAAGAGGCGCCCTGCAACCGTAGGGCCCCCTCCCTGGGGCCCTTCCACCCGGACCATGCCCAAGCCAGCTCAGAAAGTGAGTTCATAGCCCCCTCTACCCACCAATCCCAAATTTCTCCCCTCATCTGCTAACTTTCCCCTTGATTCTTCATTCATGCCACCTTTATTTGCACCCCTTTGCATAGCAGTGTCATGGGCCTGTGAGGGCGGGAAGAAGCAGAAGACGCTGCCCCTGCCTCTGAGAGGTTCACTATTTCACGGGGGAAAAAAGCTTCCCACCTGAGAAGCGCATCCGCTGTGTGTTCGATGGCTGTTCCAGAACCTCCAAAAAGAGAAGGATGGTCAGGGATGGACAGAGCAGGAAAAGTTCCCAGAGCCAGTGGGCCCTGGGGCCGGAACCGCAGTCTGAGTCCTGATACAGCTGTACCCAGGCGAAGACACAAGGTGCCCTGGGCTGGCTCAGTCGGGCATGTCTGCGTGGAAAGCGGTCCGCGCTGGACTGGTGGGCTAGCCTTAGGCTGAGGTACCGAAGACCATGGATGGCCCACCCTGTGGTCCTCACAATACAATATTGCTGCTTCTCCGTGGGGTCTCTGCTGCCTCTGAGGCAGAGCATGGATGCTTTTGGTTGTCCCAGTGACTGGAGGACTCCACGGGTCTTCAGCAGGCGTCCAGGGTACATGGGAATACAAGATGTCCTGCAGCACACAGGAGGGTTCTGAACGATGAACCATGATTCTGGAGTCCTCCATTTCTAACTATCCCGCTGGATATTCATTTAAGTGAACAACCTGTAAGTCTCTGAACCTAGAATCTAACTCGTTTCCATATTACACACATAGTTTTTCTCCACTTAGTACTCAGTTTCACAAGAATGTAACCACATAAATAAAAATGTTGTACAATTTTTGTTTTGTTGGAACTTGACTGAGTTGTTTCATTTCAGGAAATCACATCTCTGAAGGCAATAGTATTCCTAGAATTTGAGTTATTACTCTGCATTAATAGCCTATTAATGGTGACTCTGCAAATGTATTCAAGCATCTGATTATTTTGTCTTCAAGCACTCGTGTCTTGTCATAAGTTGAAATACATTTTAAACTATAGATTCCTTTCCTTTATCTTTTTATTACAGGTAGGCCATTATATTGACTTTTAACAATTATGCATATAGATGAGTTATATGATCTATAACGTTTATTTCAGGAGAGGGGAGAGGGTGTTGCAAATTAATTGTTCTAAGGAAGGATGGGAGCTGATGTGGTTGAGAGGACCAATTCTGTACTAGCACCGTCCAGTAGAAATGCATTCAAGCTACAAAGAAAATGTTAAGTTTTCTAGTAGCCATCTTAACAAAATAAAAAGGACAGAATATTCGATAGCCTTAAAAAGGAAGGAAATCCTGCTACATGCTACTACATGGGTGAACCTTGAGGACTTCATGCTAAGTAAAACAAGTCAGTTACAAAAAGACTAATACTGGCCCTAACTGGTTTGACTCAGTGGATAGAGCATTGACCTGTGGACTGAAAGGTCCCAGGTTTGATTCCGGTCAAGGGCATATACCTTGGTTGCAGGCACATCCCCAGTAGGGGGTGTGCAGGAGGCAGCTGATGGATGTTTCTCTCTCATCGATGTTTCTAACTCGCTATCCCTCTCCCTTCCTCTCTGTAAAAAAATCAATAAAATATATTTTTAAAAGGAGTTCCTTAAAAAAAAAAAGAAAAAACCAAAACTGGATGATTTCACTGAGGCATCTAAGGCAGTCAGATTCTTAGAAGCATAAAGTAGGATGGTGGTTGCCAAGCGCTGCCTGAGGAGGAAAAGGGAGTTGTTACTTCCTGGGGATAGAGTTTCCGATTTGCAAGATGAAAACGTGTCACACGTGTGACCATCCCGCACATACTGAGCAGCACCCTCAAATGCTGAAGATGGTACATTCTGTGTTATGTGCTTTTGACCAAAATGAAGAATTAAGAGGAGCAGGTAAAAGGAATTTCAATAACGTATATTTATTTAACCCAGTATATCCCAAGTGCCCTCATTAGGGTTCGGCACTCTCAACATAAAACCGATATAAAAACTACCAATGGGATATTCTCCTTGCTTCTTCTTGTAAAAGTTTTTGGCATCTGCGTGTATTTGACACGGACGGCACCTATCAACCCAAACCAGCAGTTCCTTAAAAAAAAAAAGAAAAGACCAATACTGGATGATTTCACTTAACATGAGGCATCTAAGGCAGTCAGATTCTTAGAAGCATAAAGTAGGATGGTGGTTGCCAAGCGCTGCCTGAGGAGGAAAAGGGAGTTGTTACTTCCTGGGGATAGAGTTTCCGATTTGCAAGACGAAAACGTGCGGGAGGTCTGTGTCACACGTGTGACCATCCCGCACATACTGAGCAGCACCCTTAAATGCTGAAGATGGTACATTCTGTGTTATGTGCTTTTGACCAAAATAAAGAATTAAGAGGAGCAGGTAAAAGGAATTTCAATAACGTATATTTATTTAACCCAGTATATCCCAAGTGCCCTCATTAGGGTTCGGCACTCTCAACATAAAACCGATATAAAAACTACCAATGGGATATTCTCCTTGCTTCTTCTTGTAAAAGTTTTTGGCATCTGCGTGTATTTGACACGGACGGCACCTATCAACCCAAACCAGCCACATGCCTGGTGCTCAACAGCCACATGTGGCTGGTGGTGACCACACTGGACAGCGAAGGACTAGGGAAGAGCTAACAGACTTTCAGAGCCAGGCCGCGCTGTGAATTCCTCACACCTGGTGGCTCATTGCAGCCTCCTAAGGGCCCGCGAGGCAGGCACAATTACTGTCGGGAGTACACGTGAGGGCCCGGAGATCCGAAGATCGGAGAGCTTGAGCGGCCTGCCTGAGGTCGTGCACCGTGTGTCCCCAGGTGGAAAGCTGGAAAGCCGCATCTGGCTCCCCAGCCTCGCCTTAGCCACTGTGCTGCGGGCGCCTTTGCAGGACCTGGCCGAGGACTCCAGGACTCCC